GAGGAGAGGGGGAGCAGGAGAGGAAGAGGAGGAGAGGGGGACCAGGAATGGAAGACAAGGTGAGGAAGAGGAGGAGAGGGGGACCAGGAGAGGGAGACGAGGAGAGGAAGAGGAGGAGAGGGGGACAAGGAATGGATGACAAGGTGAGGAAGAGGAGGAGAGGGGGACGAGAAGAGGAAGAGGAGGAGAAGGGACCAGGAGAGGGGGATGAGGAGAGGAAGATGAGGAGAGGAAGAGAGGGGGACCAGAAATGAAGGACAAGGTGAGGAAGAGGAGGAGAGAGAGACCAGGAGAGGGGGACGAGGAGAGGAAGAGGAGGAGAGGGGGACCAGGAATGGAGGACGAGGAGAGGAAGAGGATAGGAAGAGGAGGAGAGGAGGACCAGGAGAGGGGGACGAGGGGGACGAGGAATGGATGACAAGGTGAGGAAGAGGAGGAGAGGGGGATGAGGAATGGAGGACGAGGAGAGGAAGAGGAGGAGAGGGGGACGAGGAGGGGAAGAGGAGAGGGGGATGAGGATGAGGAGAGGAAGAGGAGGAGAGGGGGGACCTGGAGAGGGGGCCAAGAGGCCCCCCCCACATCCTAGGGATGCCTTTGCCATCCAACCCTCCGAGCGACCTCTCTGGGGACCAGGGGAAGCAGCTCCCCACCCGCCATCCATTCAGACCCCGAAGTGTGGAAAGGATTTTAACACCCCACTAATTCATTAAAAAATAGAAAAATTAAAACGTCTGGGCAGCAGGGACAAAGCCACCCCCTTCTCTTTATTCTCCCAAACCCTGTGTCCTCTACAGCTTCTCCCCGTTTCACGGAGGAGAGAAAGGAGGGGCAGAAACGATGGTGTTTCCCCCCATCTCCTGCTCAGGGGGTCTTTTGGGGGGGATTTTGGGGGGGATTTTCCTGCTGGGAATGGGTGCTGCTCCGATGGGCAGCCGTTATCACCCGGTAAATCCATCCCCTGGTATCGATGGGGAGGGGAAGGGGAGGGGGAAGTGGATTTGCCCGGTGGCTTTTTCTTTTGGTGTTTCCCCCCATCTCCTGCTCAGGGGGTCTTTTGGGGGGGATTTTGGGGGGGATTTTCCTGCTGGGAATGGGTGCTGCTCCGATGGGCAGCCGTTATCACCCGGTAAATCCATCCCCTGGTATCGATGGGGAGGGGAAGGGGAGGGGGAAGTGGATTTGCCCGGTGGCTTTTTCTTTTCCTGGCTTGGAAATGGGAGAGATAAAAGCTCCCCGGGGTGTCCGGGTTGGGGTTGGAAGAGGTTTTTCCTGGAATTCACACAAAAACACACTCCCCCTGACTCTCCCCAGCTGCTTCCGAGAGAATTGGGAATTTCAGCCTCAATATCCACACGGGGAGCGGCGACTTCACCCCAAATCCCAAAGATTTGGGAGCAAAGCACCAGCCCCCAGCCCCGTTCCGAGGAGAAAAGCTTTTGTTGGTTTTTTTTGTTGTTGTTGTTGTTGTTATAAATAGCAACGTGGGGTTTTATCACCCCGGAAAAAGAGGTTTCCTGCCCAACCGGGAGGACGGGTCCTTGTGGGATGTGACCAGGGGAAGAGGGAATTCTCCTTCCCCGGGACGGCAGGACCCGTCCGGGCACCACCGGGGGCTCCGGGGTTTCGTTCTGACGGAGGAGAGGAAGAGGAGGAGACGGGGGACCAGGGGAGGGGGAAAGAGGGCCCCCACATCCTAGGGATGCCTTTGCCATCCAACGCTTCCAGCGACCTCTCTGGGGGCCGCGGGGGCAGGACCAGGGGAAGCAGGTTCCCCACCCGCCATCCATTCAGAACCCGAAGCGTGGAAAGGATTTTAACACCCCACTAATTGATTAAAAAATAGAAAAATTAAAACGTCTGGGCAGCAGGGACAAAGCCACCCCCTTCTCTTTATTCTCCCAAACCCCACGTCCTCTACGTTTCAGGGAGGAGAGAAAGGAGGGGCAGAAACGATGGTGTTTCCCCCCATCTCCTGCTCAGGGGGTCTTTTGGGGGGGATTTTGGGGGGGATTTTCCTGCTGGGAATGGGTGCTGCTCCGATGGGCAGCCGTTATCACCCGGTAAATCCATCCCCTGGTATCGATGGGGAGGGGAAGGGGAGGGGGAAGTGGATTTGCCCGGTGGCTTTTTCTTTTCCTGGCTTGGAAATGGGAGAGATAAAAGCTCCCCGGGGTGTCCGGGTTGGGGTTGGAAGAGGTTTTTCCTGGAATTCACACAAAAACACACTCCCCCTGACTCTCCCCAGCTGCTTCTGAGAGAATTGGCAATTTCAGCCTCAATATCCACACGGGGAGCGGCGACTTCACCCCAAATCCCAAAGATTTGGGAGCAAAGCACCAGCCCCCAGCCCCGTTCCGAGGAGAAAAGCTTTTGTTGGTTTTTTTTGTTGTTGTTGTTGTTGTTATAAATAGCAACGTGGGGTTTTATCACCCCGGAAAAAGAGGTTTCCTGCCCAACCGGGAGGACGGGTCCTTGTGGGATGTGACCAGGGGAAGAGGGAATTCTCCTTCCCCGGGACGGCAGGACCCGTCCGGGCACCACCGGGGGCTCCGGGGTTTCGTTCTGACGGCACCGGTTACGCCATCCGGAAAGCGGCGGCGCTGGCTTCCTCCTGCCCAAAGCAACCCTCCCCACGGCCCCAGACTTGTCCCCACGGCCTCAGGAGGGGACACCAGGGCTCCAGCCTTGTCCCCAGGACCCCAGGAGGGGACACCAGGAGGAGAAACCCTCCCCATGGCTCCAGCCTTGACCCCAGCCTTGTCCTCAAGACTCCAAGAGGGGACAGCAGGAGCAGAAACACCACAGCTCCAGCCTTGTCCCCAAGACCCCAGGAGGGGACAGCAGGAGCAGAAACCCCACAGCTCCAGCCTTGTCCCCAAGACCCCAGGAGGGGACAGCAGGAGCAGAAACCCTCCCCATGGCTCCAACAAGACCTCAGCCTTGTCCCCACAGCCCCAGGAGGGGACACCAGGAGCAGAAACCCCACAGCTCCAGCCTTGTCCCCATGGCCTCAGCCTTGTCCAGGAGGGGACACCAGGAGGGGACACCAGGAGCAGAAACCCCACAGCTCCAAACTTGTCCTCAGGACCCCAGCCTTGTCCCCAAGACCCCAGGAGGGGACAGCAAGAGCAGACACACTCCCCACAGCTCCAGGCTTCAGCCTTGTCCCCAAGACCCCAGGAGGGGACACCAGGAGCAGAACCCCCACAGCTCCAGCCTTGTCCCCATGGCCTCAGCCTTGTCCAGGAGGGGACACCAGGAGGGGACACCAGGAGCAGAAACCCCACAGCTCCAAACTTGTCCTCAGGACCCCAGCCTTGTCCCCAAGACCCCAGGAGGGGACAGCAAGAGCAGACACACTCCCCACAGCTCCAGCCTTGTCCCCACAGCCCCAGTCTTGTCCCCAAGACCCCAGGAGGGGACAGCAGGAGCAGAAACCCTCCCCACAGCTCCATCCTTGTCCCTGGGACCCCAGGAGGGGACACCAGGAGCAGAAACCCTCCCCATGGCTCCAGCCTTGTCCCCAGGACCCCAAGAGGGGACAGCAGGAGCAGACACACTCCCCACATCTCCAGCCTTGTCCCCACAGCCCCAGTCTTGTCCCCAAGACCCCAGGAGGGGACAGCAGGAGCAGAAACCCCACAGCTCCAGCCTTGTCCACAAGACCTCAGCCTTGTCCCCACAGCCCCAGGAGGGGACACCAGGAGCAGAAACCCCACAGCTCCAGTCTTGTCCCCATGGCCCCAGTCTTGTCCCCAAGACCCCAGGAGGGGACACCAGGAGCAGAAACCCTCCCCACGGCCCCAGCCTTGTCCCCATGGCCCCAGCCTTGGCCCCATGGCCCCAGGAGGGGACAGCAGGAGCAGAAACCCCACAGCTCCAGCCCTGTCCCTGTGGCCCCAGCCTTGTCCCCAAGACCCCAAGAGGGGACAGCAGGAGCAGAAACCCTCCCCGTGGCCCCAGCCTTGTCCCCAGGACCCCAGCCTTGTCCCCAAGATCCCAGGAGGGGACACCAGGAGCAGAAACCCCACAGCTCCAGCCTTGTCCCTATGGCCTCAGTCTTGTCCCCAAGACCCCAAGAGGGGACAGCAGGAGCAGACACTCTCCCCAAGGCTTCTGCCTTGTCCCCACGGCCCCAGGAGGGGACAGCAGGAGCAGAGACCCCACGGCCCCAGTCTTGTCCCCAAGACCCCAAGAGGGGACAGCAGGAGCAGAAACCCCACAGCTCCAGCCTTGTCCCCAAGACCCCAAGAGGGGACAGCAGGAGCAGAAACCTTCCCCATGGCTCCAGCCTTGTCCCCAAGACCCCAGCCTTGTCCCCAAGACCCCAAGAGGGGACAGCAGGAGCAGAAACCTTCCCCATGGCTCCAGCCTTGTCCCCAAGACCCCAAGAGGGGACAGCACAAGCAGAAACCCCACAGCTCCAGCCTTGTCCCCAAGACCCCAGGAGGGGACAGCAGGCACAGAACCCCTCCCCACAGCCCCAAACCACATCCTTTAGGATAAAACACCGACAGCAAACAC